GAGGCTGTGTCGTGCCGCGGGGCTCTGCTCCCTCCGTGCCCCGGCGTCTGTAGGGCAGCGGATCCGAGCAGGCCGCGTTAGGTGGTGCCAGGATGGACCTGTGCGGGGATGGTGCCCTAGCCGCAGGTTCTGGCACGCCTGGGTATCTAGGTTTCTAACTAAACAGCTGAGCTGTCGAGGAGTTGGCTTGATTTCTCCCGGGGTAGTGTTTAGGCTTCTAATGCACGCCTGTCTCCGACCTGTAAAACCTGCGTGCTGTGCTTGTACTTATGGTTGTGGGGGGAAGAAAAGCACACCTCTTTATCTGCAGTGTAAATCTTTGTGTGCTTCTAAGCTCTCATATCTTAAAAAAGTCTGAACTGAATAGGCATTATTATGATTTTTATGTCGCCTGAAAATGACCTTGAGTGTCTCTGGGCAGTAGTTAAGAAGCTTACAAATTCATGGGAAAATACTTTGTATCATTGATATCATAACATTTAAATTCTCCACTTGCATTGTTTATCTCTGTAACACAGCCACAGAGGTATAGCTAAAAAATAAAACCACACACACATTTCACTTGTATACCAGAAATTGGTCTTCACATATTTCTTTTCTTTCTCATAAAGCACACGTCGTTGTCGTTTGAAATCTGCTAGTGCTTTATTTTATGGGAGTGGTTGGAAGAGGTTCTTCTAGTTCTGATTTGACCAGCAATGCTTTTCTCATAGAAGGAGAAATGATTTTTAACAGCCCAAGCCTTAAAATTGCTATAAGGAGACTCACAATCAGGGTGTCAGTAAGCTGGTCGGTTAGTAGTCAGGGGACTTAAATGCTATACAAATCAGTGCTTTTCCAGCTAGGCAACGCTTGGAAGAGAATGAGCACCAGCAGCTTGAGTTGCTCAGTTAGACAGAGGCCTGCCCATGTGAGTGAGGTAACCTGGCAGGGGCTTCAGCAGAATCACACTGCAAAGTTTCTATGAAAAAGAACTTTTCTGGAAAAGGTTATTTTTATGGATTGTGTGTGTGTGCCTGGAAAAGGTTATTTTTATGGATTGTATGTGTATGTGTACACGTGACTGTTCTTATATGTGTTTATATGTGGGTGTCTCTTACCTAAGTCAGCAGCTGATAGGTTTGCTTTGGGTTTTGTGTTTAGACATTGTTCTCAAAATACTGCTTTTTCTCTTTTCAGGCTTTGGTTAGCATTTTAGACTCATATTTCTCTGGAGCTGATGTTTTCCTAACGCTTCAGCTTGGCTTTAGAAGCTGCTTTGCTGGAATGTTTTAAACGGTTTAAAACCCTCTAGGATTTGAAGTTTATATAAATAAATTGAAGGAATTACTTCTGGCCTCACCAAAGAAATAACTGGAATCATGGATCAGAACAACAGTTTGCCACCCTACGCTCAAGGCTTAGCCTCTCCTCAGGTAAAAGCAAATGATTTAAGATGTAGCTATGATCTGAATTTCTGTGTGAAAATGTTTCCATTTCTTGCATGCAACTTTGGGGGTTTGTTTGCAGATCTGAAAACTTCTGCTAGATTTTGAATAATACTAGTATAAAGCAGAATTTATATTACCCAGAGGAATAAGAACCATGCAGATACTCCTCTAAGCTGAGGCATGCCTGACAAGTTGGAAAGATTAATTTTGGTGGTTTCCCATTCAGCTGTGTGCACAATGGATTGTTGCTGTGCCGTGGATGCTTTTGGTACAATGTGCACAGACTTTGTTCAGTTAAATTGTGGGCCAGAGTGGAGACATGCTTGCAAGGTAGTGTGAGAAGCCTGTCAGATCCCTAAGGGTAGTATTTTGTTCTGTAGAACAGCTGCATTTCCAAGGACTTTCTATTTTTTGAACAAGTTATTACTACATGCTTCAGGTTTTACATGATCATCTCAACTTATGTAGATTTATTTTTAGTCCCCTCCTGAAAACTTTGTCTCCTAAAAACAAAATGGAGTCAACGTGATCTATGGGTTTTGTGTCATGTTTACTTCTGTAGGGCGCAATGACTCCAGGAATCCCAATTTTTAGCCCGATGATGCCATATGGCACAGGATTGACACCACAGCCTGTCCAGAGCACCAACAGTCTGTCCATACTGGAGGAACAGCAGCGGCAGCAGCAGCAGCAGCAACAACAACAAGCAGCACAGCAGTCAACATCACAGCAAGCGACACAGGGAACATCGGGTCAGACTCCCCAGCTCTTCCATTCACAGACTCTTACCACAGCCCCTTTACCAGGAACCACACCTCTGTACACCTCTCCAATGACTCCCATGACTCCGATAACTCCTGCAACACCGGCGTCGGAGAGCTCTGGGATAGTGCCACAACTACAGTGAGTGCCCCATGTGCTAGTGCAGCATGTCCTTTCTCAGCTAGCCCTTTGAAGGCTTAGCACCAAAGCCACATCAGGAATTGGGTACTTCTTTTTGGTGGGGAGGGAGGGAGGCCCTGAGAGTTTATGGGTCTTGTCTAGCAGTGTATTTTTTGCTTTGATTTTTATCTTAGCTTCATTACTAAACTACTTAGTAATATGAACAGTTTCTTAGTGATGTGTCAACCATCTGTCTTCTAAGCATACCAGTGGAGGGTGTTATATATGTCTTCATTTAACACCATTGTAACTTCTAACTCTGTGCACTTTAGGAGTTCATCATGTTCCCTTTTGTAGTGATTGGCTAATGCTGAATTTGTAAGAGGAGGAAAAAAGCCCTTAGAGCTAGTCCTAAGTTTAGATATGGAAGTATTTTCACTGAACTTCAGTTTTAAAGAAACCTTTATAGCAGCTTAGCAAAAGGACAAGAGGAATGGTTCATAACCAGTGAAATTTTCATCGAAAAGAGTAGTTTCTTATATTTCTTTCTGGTTTTCCCCATTGAGGACCTTTAGATTTCAGGGTTTTCCCAGAAAACAAAATTTTATACCTAGGAGCTTCTTTTAAACTTTATCTGGAGGCTTCATATCCCATCACCTGACCATGGATTTACTTCCTGGTTCATTCCCACTTAGTTCTGCACCTTCCTCCTTGAAGGGCATAGCAAGGAAAATTTCAGATAGTACTACCTCATTGCCTCCTGTTTCCAGCAGCTTCCCTGACTGGGGTGAGGGCTGTCAGCATAAAGAATTTTTCCTGATGAACTGAGAGATTCTTCTCATGGGACACTTTTCATAATAGCTGGGAGATAAGGAGGAATCAGCAATCATGGCTTAGGAGCTACTGCCCTACAAAAGGAGGTTCCTGAGCCAAAACACTGCTCAGTCACCACTCCCGTTAGTAGGAAAGGTGTCATTCAAACCTGCTTGAAAAAACAAAATTATAATTAAAAAAGAGTAATTAAGCTTGATTAAAAATGAGGAAGGTACATGAATTCCTTGTTTTCTTTTTAATGTATTTATTTGAACTGTCTTCAGGAACATTGTGTCCACAGTGAATCTTGGTTGCAAACTTGACCTAAAAACTATCGCACTTCGTGCCCGAAATGCTGAATATAATCCCAAGGTAAGAGAAATGTGTTAAGAGTTCATCCTATAGCAGATGTATCAAAGGCACAGGCTGTGGCTCCAGGTTGCTGCAGTAGACTGAGCAACCTTCCTGCTATCGATGCAATTCTATAGTTAAAAAAGAAAACTTTCACAAACTTAGAACATTTTGTCAAATTAGTAGAAAGCATACTTACACTGAGGTGGCTGTTGTGGTTGTAAGTTGGTAGATTTAGAAAAAAACACCAGTTTAATACACTGGCCAAGCTTTTTGTTGTAGAGCCTCTGGTGCTGTTCACATGGGCATGTTTGTTCATAGTGTTCAGACAGTTCTTTTTGCATGTTACTGGGAAATGTCTGATGATGAAGTTCCCTATCTCCCAACAAGGAGAAAGGAAGGAAGAATTCACCTCCTGGTTTCCTGCCAGAGCCATGGCTGTTGTGTATACGCTGTGGCTTCCTCCACCTTAGCTGGCCCCCTGGAATTCTTGTGGCTGCAGTGCAGTCACTCATTTTTTATGTTCTCACTTCCCCTCTGTTCCCTCGTGTTCTGCCCCAGTACTCCTGCCCTCTCGTTGCCTCTGATGGCTAAGTTTGGTGGAACAGCAAAATGAAACTGATTCTTTTGCATGTTGATTTCTAAGTTGCCTGTTGCTGCTAAATAGCAGTCTGTTAAACTGTGGGGTTTTTTTAGCTTGGGAAACTTTGAACAGTAGAGGACCTGGAGCATTAAATCAAGAAAATTACGTCGCTCCGTTTTTCTTTTGGGTGGCTCCTCTTGGAAGTGTTATCTTTGCAACCACAGTAGCTGGACACTAACAAAAGTTTAGATATGGTGTAGTTGAACTGGCTTGCCTTGGGAAGGCCTCAGTTTTCCTGGGGTGTGTTTTGTTTGGGTTTCTTTGTTTCAGTTTTTAGGATTTTGCTGCAGTTTACCTGAACTCTGCTCTCAAAGGTTAAAGCACGTGCACAGGCGTACGTGATAAATAACTGTTACTGTAAGTTAAACCAGTGATGCTGATGTTACATAATTGTGAGTAAGATATTAGTGCAGCAAAAATTTGAGCGTGCCATGGTAACTCCTTTGGCAGGGGTAGGTGGCTGTGTAAAACTCATAGTCCAGAATAATGTTTTCCATGAAATGCTGTTTTCCACGGCAGAGAGAAAGGGGGGTTATGTAACACACTCCTGACGTTTAGTCAGTGCATCCATCTAGCAAAGAAAGACGTTGCTTGGGTGTATTATTTGAGCCACATTTTGACAAATGTTGGGTAACCCACGCTACCGCCTTGGTTGTGTTCTAGCAGAACACTTTATGGGGCTGCATGGTGAGCTGGTCCAAGTTAAATATAACAGCCAAACAGGGGGTTGTGTGCATGCGTGTGTGTGTGTATGCCCACATCAGATTACAGTATCTCTTGCTTCAAGGAGTTTAAGAATATTTGGAAATGCTTAGCTAGAATAAAAAGCTAGAGCTAACCAGGCTGCTGTGTCCTGCTGTGGTAGCTAAGGTGACTTCTGTTTACACAGAACTTTGATCTCCAGCCGCTCTGTCTGCTGGTGTTCTAGCACTGTCCATTTTTTTTAAGACACAGAAACAAAACAGATCATAAAATATTTGGAGATAGTCTTCCATCTTGACTGTAACAGATCAAATTTCAAGATGTGGAGGAAATCTTTAGTAAAATAGGAATGCAGTGGTAAATACCCTTCCTGCCTGGCTCTACCTCTGTGTGTGTTTGAAGTTACTTACGATGTAAGCATTTGAAGTAAACTTTGAGTGACCCGTAAGTATGTTTGAACTTAGTATTCCTTTGCACTGCAGTGTAACTTGCTCTTTAGATGGCACAGGTTTGGTTCTAATGTAATGGTTGCAGGAATACATCACTAATGGTCTCAATTCTCACATTCCAGCGTTTTGCTGCTGTTATTATGAGAATAAGAGAACCACGTACTACTGCACTGATATTCAGCTCTGGAAAAATGGTGTGCACAGGAGCAAAAAGGTATGTTTAGGCATCACGAGCAAACTAATTCAGACTGTCTTTTCTTGTGTACCATGATGCTTTAGAAGTACTACTAGTTGTGTATATACATGGGAGTTGTACAGGTACAACTAATCTTGCTTCGCACCTACTTCAAATAGACTAATACATGTTTCTACACAAAATGTCTTTTCATGACTGAAGAGACTTCCCAGTGAAAAGGGAAATGGTAGTTCTGTATCTCTTTCATCCAGTCTGATAAACTGGTTTGCAGAGGTGGTTATACTCACTTTTTTTTGGCTTTGCAGTTATCCAGGGTTTTTTTCTAATAATTAAAAAAATTCAGTGACTGTGCACTGGAACTGCTTAAATTGTAGGGGTGGTGGCAGAATGATTTTATATTTGAATAGTTTCATTCATCACAGGACAAGAGCTCCAAGTCTCTGGTCCCTGTAGTCTGGTCTGTTCTTAACACGATCACTGAAGCAGAAGAATTGAAAACTAAACATAAGCTTAACTCCAGTGGGCAGGAGAGAAATTCTGCTTTGAAGAAGTCTTGCTAGGAATCCAGAAGGAATAAGCTAATGAGGAGAGATGAGTGAATAGAGCGAGCTGTACAGGGAAACACTTTCTGTGCCTGGTGACACTTGAAGTTCAAGTTCTCCTACTCTGCATCAGGAGCAACCAGATCAGCTGTTTACAAACCTGAAGCAAACTGAGTTCTGCTGTGCAGCTGTATTAAACCCAAGTTTGAATACCTGGGCTGAATCAAGCAGAGGATTTTGGCAGCTGACAAGATTTTTATAGAAATACGTATTTTCTAGCAGTAGCAGTTCAAAATTGTTCTATGCTGAAAACTTAAATAACAGTTTTCATGTCCCATTAGAGGAACTCTGATCAGTATTTTCAAAGTGTGAAATACACGGATTTATAGTTTACTGGTTTGTGCCTCATGAGCAGTGAATGCAACACTGATGGTGTCCAGGACCTGTTACCAAAACTAGCATGAAAAACAGTGCTAGTTGTCAATTTTGGATCTAAAAATTTGGCATGTGATCTTCCCTCTCCTTCTACACAGACATTTTTTTTCCACTTAGATATTTTTGTTGTAATGCTGTTTGCTTCAACTAATACTTAACTGTGGCAATGATACAGATATCTTTCTCTCACTTCAGTGAGGAGCAATCCAGACTGGCAGCAAGGAAGTATGCAAGAGTTGTTCAGAAACTGGGTTTTCCTGCAAAATTTTTGGATTTTAAAATTCAGAACATGGTGGGCAGCTGTGATGTGAAATTTCCCATCAGACTGGAAGGATTGGTACTCACACACC